GTCACCAGGTTCTTCAAAATTGTGAGAACTGCATCAGTTACATTTGCGTCATCTAACCACTTGTATTTCTCGTATTTGTCTTCCTTCCAGTGTTGTTTTCATTTTCACTTTTTTTTAATTATTTTTTTTATTTTCATGTCAGGGAGCTCCTTTCCTCGTGCCATGTATGGATGTCATGCACAAATTCATAGCTGACCTATAAAGATGCTCCAAGTGCTATTAGCTAATGGCAGCTATTAGTGCCGCTGGCTTACTGGTGTGGAAGAGCAGGGGCATTTAGGACAGAAATGCTCAATTTTTCAGCCTGATGATGATGCAGTTCAAGTTCATTATTAGAAGTGAGTTACAGTAGTGGGAAACTGAGAGAGGCCTCAGAACTTTTTCTTGGAGGGTCTGGAACGTGTGTTAGTACTATAGCAGGACACCTTTGCCCTTCCCGGGAGATCAGGGCCAGCTGTGGACTGCTGTATTCAGTATATCTCCAGTAGAACTTGTTATTCATAAAGATATGTCCAAAGGCTAAACTCCAGGGTACGAATTCCTTCCTTCTGTAACTCCATTTGAAGTGGCAGTTACCATAATCTGACTCCTAGGTGTTTTTTTTTGTGTAAGAATGTAATTTCTCTACTAGGGAAGCTTGTGGTGGTTGTTCAAGCATCCTGAATCCATAAAACTCTTCAGAACCTCAGCTGCAGCTATTGATACTTTTAGTTTCCGAAGTTATTTTTCTCCTCTATCCTCTCTAGAGACTTAATTACACAAGAAGCAGCTGTATGAAGGATCAATAACAGACTTTGAGCCAGTGATGCTTCCACATGGCAGCACAGTGGCTATCGGTGCTTTCTGATACTCAGACCATTAGGGGAGCATCCTGACCAACTCTGACCTCCATTTCCATTTGCACAGGGCTTCTCTAGAGCATGCTGGCTTGTCAACAGGTTTATCGATATGGTGAGCTACAACTTCCTCCTGCTTTATGCATCCTTTCCTACAATGAGAGCAATCATGCCCAGTAAGATTACCGCTGTTGCTGTAAGAGCGCGCTGTTTCCTATCACATCCATCCAAAAAATGCAAAAAGCTGTCTTTAATCAGCAGACAGACAGGTTTGGCTGGACAGAAGAGAGCACAATAAATCCCTTTGATGAGTCCCAGGATCATGGGTGACAGGTTGTTGTTCAAGTCTTATACCAACGTTTTGTTTTCACACCACTTTGGCCACATTAGGGCAGCCATAGGGAGTTGTTGCTCCTTCAGAGGTAAACAACATTTTGGTTGCAGAGTAAATGGAGAGTCCTTTTGCACCTCCCTGCTGGAGAAGTGGCTCTGCTGGAGAGGTAAGAGATTACCTCAGTTTTTAGCTGAACATTTGGGGTTTATTTAGTAAAAGAGGTTCCATTGCTCAGGCCAAAGATGCTACGTGACACATAGCAATGATGCCTTCACCAACACAGACACTGCTGCCCTTGAAGGACCCAGCCCTGTAACCAGAGACTGCTGAATGAAGCCTTTCCTTCCCTGAGCAGACTTAGTGGGGCTGTCACGCACCTCCTGGAAATAGTGACTGTGGTCTGGGTTTGTAACTGGGTAATAGCGTAGAGAAGATTGCATGTGCTGTTAAGTACCGCGATGTGTAGAAAGAGGCTGTAGGCTCAATCTTGTGCTTGCACTCACTTAAAATTTTCTCTTCTAACTAAGCAATAAGCTGTGGTAAATCACCCTTTTATACCCTGATGCTTTAGTTAAAATGTTTCATTAAACCGTTCAAATTGAATGTCTGGAAAAGTTTACACCTCCTACAAATTCTCCTCTGCTAATGGAAAAGTCATGTATACAAGCATCATTTTATTATATCCATTGTTCCATTAATACCCCTTCCAAATGGGAAAGACTTGAATCAGAGAAATTTAGTCCTTGTCTCAGTGTAGTTTCTCTTCTGGCCAGTTTTATTAGGGGGAAAAATAAAAGCTGGCCTGAAAATAACGTTTGTGTGAAAAATGGTTGCAGCTTGCACGCTGTGTGGTCTCAGGAACCCTTTGGAATGGCAGATTTAAAAACCAGTTGCAGAGCACACGTCGCCTCCCGGGGCTGACGTGGCCACTGAACTTTCTGCCTCGGAGCCTGTTGTGCCAGAGTGCGGTCGGTGTGCTGGCAGCGCGGGGGTCAATCAATACCCCAATGCCATGTGAGGCTACCAGATTCTGAACTGCCTTCCAGCAGTCCAGGCGCTGTGGCCTCCAGCACGGTCGTTCTCAATTTGCCCCAACTTGTCAGGTGTTTCAGGCCTGTTAGTTTGGGTCCATGTATTCTGTGAGAGCCAAAGTTAACCCTGTAAGGTAAAAAATAAGGGAGTTTATCCTTGCACGAAAGCTTATAGAGAAGGTAATTTATAATCACAAAAAAATGTGTCCCCGTTACATTCCTTCATTCCCATCATTTCTGGTGGATTTGTCCAGTGGTTCTTCTCTGTTTCTACCTAGTGGGAAAGGCTGAGTGGATCTTCCCAGGACTGGGGACACACTGGTGCACAGCAGTTTGCTGGAGCTGCTTTTAGGGATTTTGAGCGTACAGAGCTCAAATCCTCTCTGATGACTGGCCTGAGCTTTTCATGGTGGAGCTCTCAGGTCCCAAGTGAGGAAAGTCCTCCAGACCAAATGGTGCTGTTTCTCTGACACTTTTATTCCAGCCTTTGGTTTAGGGTAGCCTTTGTACCAACTTGCGCCTCCAGTGGGAGATGCTTTAGCACATCTCCTTGGAAGCTACACAGGGACAGCAGGACCTGTGCCTTCGGTCCAGGCACAGGGCCTTCACTGCATGTCACGGGAGGGCAAAAGGCTTCAGCAAAACATCACTCTCCCTTCAGTTATCTGAACTATAAAAACTTGCAGGCAATTTCCTGGTGGGGCCTTGCACTCAGAGCTTTAAAACTCGGTCCCCAGCTCTTCTATTTGATTTTCTCAAGGACCTTGCATGAATCACCCCGCTACTTGGGTCCTCAAGTGAACTTACTATAACAGCAGCAACAATCTGACCCTGCAAGGATGGTGTCCTGGCACCACAGCTGGGAGCCTCTGGGGTGCCCCATGCTACACATGTGCTTCTGTTTCCTATAGATGACTAGGCAGAACTCTTCCAAAAGACAGCATGAGCACCCCTTTCTCTGTCTTTGATCACTGACTCGTGTCTGACACAGGGTAAGGAGAACCAGGTGTTGTATGGCATGGGATACTTTGAAATTTCTAGTCTGTTTTGGAGGGGGGAGGAGGGAAATGAGATCAAGGCAGTTGCTGAAGGCAAGCCAGGCTCAGACTATAACTGTGCTATGCTTAAAATATTTAATTCCACAGCATGAGTCACTATGACTAGGCTGCTATTGACCTGGGTAACCTGAGTGAATATTGCATAAAAGGCCCTCTCGTTTTGTCACTATAAATAAAATCTGTGATTATTCATAGCGAATGCTGAGCTCCTATTAACATAAGCAGCCTTACAAGAGCATTGAGCTCCAAGATGGGGATGCATTCAAAGAGCTTTTGGGTCATCTGGAGCTGCCTTCATGGGTGACTGGCTTGAAAGGGGCAGAATTTCTGCCCTTGAGCATTTCTGTCCCTTCCTGGCTGAAGAAGAAGGCTGCACCCAACAAGAACTGCAAACACTAAAAATATTTGATGGTGAAAAAATTGTTCAATGATTGAAAAAACAACAAAAGAAGCTGAGGGAGAGGAAGAGAAATGAACTAAACATAGGGAAAGGAAAAAAGAAAAGGAAGAGTTAAGGTTTCTCCCTCCCTGCCTCCCCCAGGGCTAATTTTTATTATTGGCTGCTGTTTTATGGCACCGTCCCCTCCTGCTCCATGTGTTTTAATTGGGCTGGCACATGTTACACATGTCCTAAAGGGACATGGTAATTATTTGTTGGATAATCAGAAAGTCTGTGCGGGGAATCTGTGTTTGCAGTGAGTCCTCCAGTGCCATCTGGGCCTGCCTGTGACCAGTCCCACACCAAACCTACCTGTGATCCCAGACCACCCTACACAGCCTTCTCCTTCTGAAGAGTATATAAATGCTCAGCGAATGGCACCGGGTGCCTCTGCAGGGGCATGACTTAGCTGAGCTGCACTTGTCACATGCTTGAGGGGGAGATTTCAGTAAGGTCAGAAATGATGTGGGCTGTCACCCGTGTCAGTGTCTGTGTGGACCAGGCTCAGGAGCAGCTCTAGGCAGTGGAAGATGAGGGGGTGTGAGGTTCTGTGCTCTAAAAGAGGGGGTGACACCTTGAACCAGGAGAGGGAAGAGCAAAGGGATTGGTGTACTGGCCAGATGCCAGAGCAGGGAGCTATTTGGATATGTCAGAGCTGTCCTTTCTAATGTTTTATGCCTGTATTTACTGATGATTAAGCACCATGGAAGAAAAAGACAATTAGATACTTAGAGTGAAGTGTGGCCTCTTGATTTTTGCCTGAGTTGTGGCACTGAAAGGCAGACCTTAATTGGTTCTGTGATCATCAGGGGAGCAGCACAGATCTGCTCCTTGCCCTTACCCTGGGAGACACAGGAGAGAGACATCCCTATCCTGCAAGAGGCATCAGCTGAGAGCAGACACAGGTAGAGAGATGTTTAGTGGTTGGATCATGGTGCTAGTGTTGCAAGTTGACCAGGGAGTCTGGGATGGAGATGTTTTTCACGCTGCTGTAAGCTTTAGTAGTGTTGAGATAGGAGAGTGACTTGTCCTTCAACACAAACTTCTGGTCTGCTTCCCTGTTGCACGCTCTGCCCTGCATCAAGCCTTCTCCCAAACCCTAGTGCTGGTGCTGCAGAGAGGGGCTGTACCCACCACCGCATCCCATCCAGCTCATCCTTTTGTCCCACACAGCACAGAGGATGTCCCAGTGACCTGCAGCACCTTTCAACAGCAGCCTTATGCCTGCGGTCGACTGACTTGCCTGTATAAATCGGTCTATCAGATATCTCACCTTGATCTTCACACTATGTCTTCACACAGATGGTGAACCCTGTGGCAGACAGAAAGGTCTTCTTCATTAATTACTTCACTTTTTAGTCCTTTACTGCAGACATCTCTACCCACAAACCGGGTAAGTAGATATTGTTGGCTCATTTTATGTCTAGGAAATTAAGTCCATGGGGTGATCAGCAGGGTTTAAATAGAAAGAGACAGATGTTAAATGTCTTTCCAAGAACATTAAGGTGTTCACTGTCCCTAGAGTCCTTGGCTTAGATTCACTAGCAGAGAACATTATTATAATAGAGTGGCAGTGGGTTGCTTTTAAAAGATTTTCCTCTTTGAATTGAAAGACCCACCATACAGAACGTGCCTGGATATGTGTGTGTCATGACAAATACAAGCACCCAGGTTACAGAGCGTCACAGCACTGAGCTGGAAAATACTTGTTCCTGTTATTTGCCAGAGATTCTGGGACTGGAACTAAAATACAGGCTAGATGACTTGCAGTCCTTTTTCTCATCTATTCAAGTTTTACTGTACGTTTTAACTGTCACCCACCAAAGTTACTATTTTCCCAGAAAGCTAGAAATAATGTTAAGTTTTGAGGCCTGAGTAGCCACTGGAAGTTTGCTAGGGCAATATGATACCACTAAATAGATAATCTTGCCAGGAGCTCAGATACAGCCGGAATCCCTCTCTGCTGCTTGCACAGTCCCAGGTAAGCTCTGTTGAATTAGCCTCTTCCCCTGGATTGTTCATCTGATATATTTTTAACTCACCTTTAGAGTCTTAAATATTTTACACCAAATACTCCACTGTACTCTGCAAGCATTTACATAGCACTCACGTGACTGATACTTCAGTACACTCAGGGGTGTAGGGGGAAACATTTTCCGGAAGTGTGTGTTGAGTATATGTTTAAAGATAGAAGCAGCACCGTAAAATCAGGAGCAGTTTCAGGTGTGAGGCGGGCAGCAAGGCCACAGCAGTGCTTAGGCTGGAGGAGGGGGGATTTGGGAGAGCAGCTTACTGACCCCAGCACTGGCAGAGTCCAGCTGAGAGGTTTTGTCAAGGCAAGTTCTTCTCTGGTGCCTCCTTCCCCCGGCTTGTAAAACAGTGCTAGCACCTAGCCCCTGACCTGCTGCCCTAGGGGGCTCTCAGGTTTTTCTCAAGAAGCTACAAGTGCTGGCTGAGACACCATACACAGCTAGAAAGGCTTGTGTAAAGTACTGCATAACTCAGTTGAAAACCCTCCATTGGCCATGTTGGTGGTTGTCATTTTTTCAAAGAGCTATGGGAGATTTTGTGCTTTTTGCCATGCTCTGAATCAACAGTTCTTGATGCTCATTAATGTACATTTCCACCAAATGATGCTTGCGTTTGCACTAGGTAAGCTGCAGCTAACATTTTCTTTTCTCTTTTTCCTAGCTAATTTCATAGCACAGAGAAGACCTATCAATAAGCAGAAGCTTTTTCCAAAGAGAAAGCAAAGGTTTTTTCCCTTTCCCTTCTTTCTTGATTTCTAATGGTTATTTTAGAAATACTCAGTCTTCATAGAGATACCAAAAGCAAACTCCATCCCTGAGTAAATAAAAATTCATATTCATGTGTATATACATGGGTAGGTACACATATATACCTAAGCACATAAAAAAAACAAACACATGGCATTGCTTGGAGTTATGTAGATGGTTTTGGCTGCGTATTTTATTTATTGTACTTCTATTTTGAGAGGAAAATTGGATTTGGGGCTGTGTCTGTCTCTGAGAGTGCATTATTTGACTTTTAATCTACATCAGACTGTAACAAAGCACATCCCATATCACCGATTCTGTTGCTTCTGATACAAATTCAGTATTTCAAGAATATTTATGCATACAGGATTATTTAGTTTGGTGGCAGAGGTGTTGCATTCTGCATTTTTCTTCTGAAGGGTTTTACTGGTTGTTACTGATTAAATCGGCTGTTCACATAAATTCCATCTATGGAATGGGTGGATATACATATGGGCTGGTGAATACTAAATATCCCCAGTAAACAGGGGGTTAACTCTGCATCCCTTTTCCTCCACTGAGGGAAGGCTGCCAGGGATGGGGAGAAGAAGAAATGGAGGCTCCCCCTCTAAATTTTGAGGAGAGGGATGAGCCCCAGCAGGGGGGCGTTCCCCGGTGGTTTGGTTGGTGTGGAGGTGGCGGCTCCTGTGGATTTGCCCTGGGTTACAAAACACGGGTTGCTCCTGACAGACCTTGCTAGTTTCTTCTGTGGCCTGATGGGGAGCAAGAACAATAAAATCTGTTTTGAATAAGTTACTACGTCTTTATTTACCTGCATTGGACCAGTCACGTTTCAACAAGGACTTGTCTAAAACTTTTCTATTCAACTGTGGTCACTGTACCTAATTTTTCCACTTGTCTTGCCTCCCTAAGCCCAGCTCCTGCAAATACGTAGGCCCATTGCAGACTTTAAAAAGAGGAGCAGTAGTGCTGAGCTCTGTCAAATTCCCTTGATGGCAGCGTTTTTTCCCTTGTGCCCTAGACAGTCCTGTCAGCTGCTGTACTCCCATGACAAGGTGGCTGCATTTCACAGCAAATGAGATGCTTTCTTCATGCATGGCTGTAAAATACTTTGAAACCTGAGTGGATGAATAATGTTGTATCATAAATATAAAATGAATATTGTTTTACGGTTCCTGAAATATTAATTTGTGCATGGAGCCACTCTTGGAATGTTTTTTTACTAAATGTAAAGATCTTTTTGAGTCCTGAATGTCCTTGCTTTGTTTTTTTATTATTAATATTCCCTCCAGGAGACATTGACTTTCCCTTCCCCTAGACATGCTGACTCCTGCCTGCCAGAGTGATTCAGCAGCTTGCCACTCACTTTTACAGAAGGAAAGTTTTCTCTTGGCTTCTTCCACTGGCCTGGTGTGACCGTGGCTGCAATTAAGGGACATATTCGTGTGGCTGGTTGATTCTTCATACTGAGCCGGGCAGCCCTGAGCTCTGGCTGGCTGGTGGCTCTGTCCTTTATGTGGGGAGAGAGATCCCCGTGGAGAGCATCGGGGCTCTCTGCTTCACAGCTTTCCCCTTTCCAGGCAGGGTCATGTTAAGTAACCAAAAGTTATTTATAATTGAGGCTGATTGTTGACTGTCTGTCACAGGCATCTGGGTCTATAGAAGAAAGTCTATAGAAAAATGCTGCTCATTTGTTTAACTGCAACAAATGCCCATAAAAAATGCAAGGGATGAGGAATGATTAACACTTACTTCTCTTTCTTTCCCATGTGAAAAAATGGGGGCAGGCTGTTATTTTTTGTTTAAGTTGAGGAGAGGAGACTCACATTACAATATTTTAATTATGTTTTGGTTTTCCTAATAAAGTGTTAAATAGCTGTCAGAGTTTAAAAGCACAAAGCCTAACATAAACCAAACCAGAGACATAGATGTATATAATTGCGTGCAAACTGACTGACTGGTATGTCTTATTTTATTAAAGCATGGTATATGAAGCTAAATTATGTGGGTTTTATGGATCCCTAAATTACATGTTTTTATCGATCTCTTGTCACTCTTAAAAATATATTATGAAGAAAAAGAATGCAGTCTTTGATATTGAAAAAGAAATTCAACTGCAACACATAAAAGATCTGGAAAACTATAATTCAGTGTGTGGGGCTGACACAAATGTAAAACACTTAATCGTAGCTAATTAGTTTTAAAAATTCTGTGTCACATGCCTTTAGGGACCAGACTGGGAAGCAGTGCTGTAGTCATTCGTGGGACAACCTTCCTGGCTGCCCTGTGGTAGACATTTCAAAGCAGATGTCTTCTCCCCGATGTGGGAAAGAGAGACATCAGGTTTGAGAGCCAGGTTTCCACAGCAGCATACTTTCTGAAAACCTGGGGGGTTTTCCCAAACTGGGGGGGGGGGGGGGGGAAACATCACTTGGGCTGCCAGCTCTGTGTGTGGCTTGCCATGCTTGGATGCCAAACAATTTGGAAAGTGGAAACCCATGCCAGTGCTGTGGGAAGAGCTTGGCCATGTGGGGGCCAGGGTCTGGCTTCCCCCCTGCAGCAGCTGCCATCAGAGTGGGAATAAACCTCGGCAGCGCTCACGGCACATGGCAAAGCACTGCCAGTGAGATTGAGGGTGCTGTGCTTTGTTTTATTTGGTGGAGAGGAGGTGGGATGGAGGAAAAGGGTGGTTTTGGTGCTACTTCTCCACACTTGATACGTGTGATTTCGTTGATGGCTGTGGTGTGCCTGTACCCTGCCATAGCTCGTTGCCTTGCTCCAAGTGTTGCAATCATTTTTATATCTTGTCAGAAGTAAGACCATTCCCTAGTGGCCTCTTGACGTTGCTGGAATTCAGCTGCTAGCCCCAAAATGGGCATCTACTTTGATATTGCTTGATCTTGTAACACAAAACAAACCAGATGCTCACATCTGATAGGCCTGAACGTAACCTTGGTACGGTCTTTTCTTACAATAGAGAAATCCCTTCATTTAACCTGTCTCTGAACCTGGATTTTTGTGCTTGACTGAAGACAAATATGAAATATGTACTCATATCCCAGGACTTGTTTCTCATACTCAGCTACTAAATATTCAGCTGTGGCCTTCATAAGTTGTTACTAATGTTTGAAGTTGCTTTTTTACCTTATCTGCAAGGAGCACCTGCAGTGCCGTATTTACCAAGAGCAAGAGGATTTCTTTTGTTTCTGCAGAGAGATTTAAAAGAAGGGACATGGCCAGTTCATATGCTAATGGAGGTACCAGCAGAATGTTAATAGCTGAGATAAACAATAACAAAAAGAAAAATAAAAGTACTTTTGTGAGTTGTTTTGAGGCTAAGAGCTGGGCTTCTGGGTTTGAGGGCATTTTCACCCCAACTTGCCTGTCTGACAACTGGATTTCATTTTAATATAATATTCAGTGGAGGAAAGGTGTGAGTTTGTCTTGAACGGTGAGTCTGCTTTGAAAATCCATTGAAATTCAAAAATCTGATTTTCCAACAACCTTCCCTTTGTACTTCACAATTCATGCCCCCGAATGCATGTCCTGGGTTGAGTGAGTGGTGGAGTTTTTCGGTGGCAGGGGAGGGGGCTATCGGGGCGGCCCCCTGTGAGAAGCTTCTCGAAGCTCCCCCAGCTTCAAGTCAGCTCCACTTCTGTTTGGGAAATTGAGCCAATCGGCTGCGCCTCTGCGATAACGTATTTAAGAAGGGACGTGGTGACGGGCAGTGGGACTGGTGAGGAGGAGTTGCTGCAGCTGCATGAACACCAAGGTCAGTGGAGGAACGGAGGAAGAAAGGAGGGGGGAGGTGTGCCGGAGCATAGACCCCCCTGTATCCTGTGGGGAGACAGCAGGGTGGCCCCCCCTGCCACCCATGAAGATCTACGGTGGAGCAGACATTGATTTGTGGCCTGTTGCTCCTGCTCACCTGATCCAGGTGCTGTGCCCGAAGCAGCACGGGGGTCTCGTGGGAAAAGGCAGCCCCGCTGCTGTAATTCAGCGCTGGGAGGATTGCAGCACGCGGGGGAGTCCCACGCCGGAGCAGCTCGGGAAGGGCTGCAGCCGTGGGAGGGAATCCAGTCGGAGAAAAGTTAGTGACCCATGACGGAGCAGTGTGGGGAACGCTGCGGCCCATGGGAGGAACTCATGTTGGAGAAAGTTGGTGGAGGACTGTCTCCTGTGAGAGGGGGACCACACTGGAGCTGGGGGAACAAGTTCTGGAAACTCCCCTCACTGAAGATAAAGAAAGTGGCAGCACTGACTGCACCCCCATTCCCTGCCCCTGCGCCGCTGGGGGAGGAGGTAGAGATACCGGGAGCAGAGCTGAGCCCGGGAAGAAGGGAGGGGTGGGGGAAGGTGTTCTCAAGATGTGGCAATGCTTCTCACTGTCCTAGTCTGGTATGTGTTGTTAGTGTCTGTAATAAATGTGTGTTCTTTTTTTTCTTCCCCTAATGAGTCTGCCTTTTGCTCGTGCCCATAAAGGGTGATTTTTTTCCCCATCCCAGTCCTATCTCAAACCCCAAGCCTGGCTCTCTGTCCCTTCTCATTGCTGGAGGAGAAGGGAGAGAGAGCCGCTGCGTTGTGGTTGGATGCCAACCGGGCTCAAACCACAACAGTGCGGTTATTTGCAAGAAACTGAACTGTGAAAGTATAACATTTGACGACTTTACAAATGTTGTCATAAGTGTTTCACTGGGTCCCTGCTATCGCTTTGACTCTGCTCTCAGCAAGGGCTCTGACCTGTGCATGAGAACAGTGTCCTCGGGACATCTGGTTCCCTCTTCCACCTTCCACTGCAGCCTCTCCGAGGAGGGTCCTACTCGACTTACATTCTGAGGCACATTTCCTCTCTCCTCTGTGCTTTGGTGTACAAACTATGGTGGTCTAGGACCCACCTCAGGGCCACCTGAGACATCTCTGGAGTAGGGACAAGGACCTCCTGGAGAGGAGCAAAGTAACTGAGTGCAAATCCTGCTTGTGAGTCAGAGCCATCAGGCTCATTCCTGCCATCAGCAGAGCTACTGAAGAGTCTTCAAGTGTCCCACTTTGAACCCACTCACCAAGTTATTTGTTCTTGTGAACCTGGGGATGTTCTGCGCTAAAGAGAGTCTGAGCTGTGTCTGGCTGACGGGGTGGAAACATGCCTGCAAGGGGCCTGGTGACTCATCCTGGACACGAGTGATGTGGAACCAGGTAGGACCTTGTTGGCACAGCCTGGTGAGAGGATGCTTCTGAGCTTGTGGCACATTGGCCAGATGAATCTGGATAGGTAATTCCCTTTATTGCATATCTCCTCTCCCCTGACCCCAAAGGAGAAAAGGGGCATCGCTCCAGGGTACAGCCATGCATGCTGCCTCTGAGTTTGTTCCATGCAGAGGCTGTTGGTTTATGCTTCAAGGAAAGAGAGAAAACTGCTGCGTTTGCAAAGTTCAGCATGTTATAGCCCATGGTGAGAGTCATGCTGCTGTGTATGTCCAGGTTACCACTGTGGAGTTACAACAGGGCTGTAAGTGAGCCTCTAAAGCATTAATTCAAGATATGTAATATTTCACATTTTCTTCTGTCATAAGGAGCATAAGATATTTCTTCCAAGAGCTTTATGGAGAGGATAAGGCCTCTTCACAGTCACGGAGCTGAAATAACAGTGGCCATTCATTGCCCAAAATGGAGGGCTCACTCAGGGCATGGTGTGAGCAAGGGGAGTTTGTGTGCCTGGGAGAGGAGAGCAGGAAGCCTATAGAAACTGGGAACAGAGGCAGCAGAGAAAGTCTTCAGCACTGCTTGAAAAGGTGCTGGGAGCGTGGTACTGAAAGAAATGCCCCAGGTGGGGGACTTCTCGGTCAAGGATGTGGGCAGAGGACAATCTCCTGTTGTTTGAGTCTTATGGCGTCCAGGAAAACCAGACATTTTTGTGGCCTTAGTCGATGAGCAGGGATCCATCAAAGACACAGGAGACTGCCACAGCTTCCCCTAAGAATGGAAACAACCTGCAGGGCCCTGAGCTATGGCTGGTTGCTCATGCCAGGGGTGAGAGAACATGTGCCACCAAATTTTGTTTTCTTCTTACTCCTGCAGTAGCAATGGAGACGGCCTTCCTTCCTCCCTCCTTTGGCCAATGTCTCTTCAGAGACTGAGGCATGAGTGAGGGCTGCTTCACCTGCCCGCTGTGGAAACTGGCACCTCTGCCATACCCCTCGCCGTATTATGCACGCTAGGAGAAGGGCTTCCACCTGTGGAGAGAAGACTGGCTAATGCTGACAGGCCTGAACCTTGTGTAGGTGCAGGAGTGCTGCATTAAATCAATGAGGGATGATGGAGTCATGAGCAGATGTTTTCTTAAGCACCTACCAGGCCCCCTCTGCTGGCTTCCCCTCCGTTCCCAAGGCAGAAGGCATGGGATGGCACTGCAGGCTGGTGGTGTGGGACAGGATCACGCGTTCAAGTCCTCCCAAAACAACTGCTAGAAACAGGGTTCTGCCATGCATCTCTCTCCATCTTCACGTGGCAATGATAAAACCCCTGGAAGTTTTGTTCTTCACTGCAGGTATCTAGCAGCAATCCTCCTGGGGCAAAGCCAAGGAGTCCGTGAGCCAGCCCACTCCATAGATACCGGAGGTGGGAGGCATTATCTCCCACAGCAGCAGCCACAGAGCTCCTGCTGGGGGTGAGGCTGTTGTGGTGGGCTCAGGAGCAGATGCTGAGCCTGGGTCTCACTTCCCAGGGGCAGAATTTCACCTGCAGCCCATTGCCAGGGGTAGTGTTCACAGTATATTCAGGCAGATGTTTCACTGGGGCTGACTCTGTCTCAGCACGCCAATCTGAAACATGCATTCTTCTGAACATGAGGTTGGTTGGGAAAAGCACAAGTGTTTTTCTGATATCTGCTGGGTGGCAGGAGGTCTGGAGGGTGGTGCAGGTGGGATAAAAAGGATATTGAAGGGGAGCTGAAGAAGCAGGGAGCATTCAAGCAGCACTGCTCAAAGCATACACGTACTTCTAGGAATGCTCTGCAAGTTATGTCATTATTATTGTAAACTCCACTGACTGAAACCAGCTACAAGCAAATGTTGTTCACAATGTTACACCAGAATCTGGCATCAACATGAGTTGGCAGGGGACATTAAAATCAAAGTGGAGCTGTATTTATATTTTGGACATGAACTAAGCTTATACCACTGGAGAGAATATACACCCTCCCCATCACCTACTTTCGGGCAGTTTAAGCCTTCCTCTGTCAGTCTGACTCCCACTTGAGCAGTGGTTACTTACAATGCCATGACTACAATGAATCGTAGGTCCCCTCTGAAATACCGTGTTTCCTAATCAAAGGCCTTTGGAGCAGGCCACTGTCTCTTTATTCTGGAATGATGGCATTTAGCAAGGCTGCTAAGGAATTCATGTTCAGAAAATATGTGCTCTGCAGAAATGTTTCATGGAAATTAGATTTCAAGAGGCAAAAATAGCACAGTACTCTGAGATTGCAGAAGGTGGAGATCTTTTTCTTCCCCCATTCCCCAAGTAATTAATTTCTCCTCTGGCATAATTGGAGGAAGATACTTTCTTTCATAAATGCGCTGTCTACCTGTTAGGGAACATTCTTTCAATGGATTTTTTTAAGCATGCACAACTTTGATGGAGTGTTCATCATAGATCTGACAGAACAATTTAATGCTGCTGAGTGTTTTCTTTGTAAGACACTCACTCATCAATTTTTTGTGCACTTAGTCAAATCGGAGTCTGGGGTAGGTGGGTTTCATTTCAGTAAAGCCATTGGAATTGCCTCCACTTCTACAAGAGCTCTACCTGGCCATTTGTTTGCACAATGGAAGTGGTGGTGACTTAAAAAGTCAGATTATATCTGACTAAACAATAATGTCTGTGGAAACACAATTCAGTATGCTCCATTCCTGTTTGTTTATAGTCATTTTTCTTAGCAGAATTTTATCTCAGAGGCTAGTGAGTCTCTGCTGATTTAGGCCATAAGTGTTTCTCCCAACCTTTTACCTCTAGAAAACTGGAAAGAAATAAATTCACCTCTTATCTGACCTGTCCAGATAATTCCTTAATAATAAAAGTCAACTGAAGCCTTGGCTGGACACAGCCTACACTGTCAGACTCAGAGGAGGGGAACTGGGCAGAATCCATAGCCCATGTTGTGTAGGAGGTTTGGTTGGAAGCGTCCCTTCCAACCTTAAACTCTAGGAGCTGATGGAAACCCCTCTTCTTCCTTTCCATAAGTAAGACTATGTAGGACATCCCCTTAGCTCAGATCAAGATCCTCCACTGTTTGAGGTTCAAATCCATCAAGAATGAGACCGTGTCTGGACCTTTCTATTCAAAACTCCTCCCTATTCCTGGAGAAAACCCATTACCACAGTCTGTTCCCTAGTGACAATCAATTCCACAAGTGTTCTTTATTGATAAAGCTTGGTTCAGGGTCTCTTGGGCCTCTCCCCTCCTCAGCTTGACATAATAATAGTTGAACTGAGATAGATGGCTCACCTCAACTAGAGGGTTACGTTTTGAAGCCATGCTCATACATGTCCCGCAACTACGTCTTGACATAAAATGGCAGGTCTTGTTTTG